TCGGTATCTCAATTCTTTCTCGAGTTATCGTGCGGACAGACAGACAGACAGACAAACAGACAAACAGACAAACAGAATGAAACTTTTCGGGTCAGTGGAGTAATGGGCTTCGCTAATCGCTCAGCCAAAAATGACAAAAAAGGAGAAATTGATTAAAAATGACTGTTTTTACCTAAAAATGACTGTTTTTGACTAAAAATGACTGAAATTGACGATTATCAATAAAGTCGGCAAGAGGTGAGAATTGTAGAGACTGGAAATGACTGAAATTGACTAAAAATGACTGGAAATGACTGAAAATGACTGGAAATGACTGAAAAAATGTCTAAATGTGACTGAATGTGACTAAAAACGAATAAAAATGACTAAAATGTGACGGAATGACCAAAAATTGACTGAATGACCAAAAATTGACTGAATGACTGAAAATGACTAAAAATGACTGAAAATGACTAAAAATGTGACGGAATTTTCATGTGTACAGTGACTAACAAGAGTGACGGACCCCTCGGTCTGGAATCGGAATCCCTGGGGACTTGCGATGCTCGCACTCCGGTCTCGGTGCGCACTCGTTCGGCGCTCGAGCGGCCCGTCCCCCGCGCGCATATCGCCCGCCTCCACCATTTGGCACGCACATACAGCGCACAGCGCACCCGTCGCGCACTTGTTGCGCACTCGTTCCGCGCTCACACGATTTTTACAGGGGTTGAGCGACCTCGAAACTCGATTCGTTTTAAACGTTGCATAATTTTACAAAATTTTGTAACTTGTTTACTGACACAAGTGCCTGTTTCGAAGGTCCTCATTCAAAACAGGCACGACAGTCGTCTTCAGCGGCCTCGAGGGGTCCCCCACACGCCAACTCGTTGTACACTTGCCCGCGCTCAACTCTCGCCTAACTCGCGTTCAACTCGCGACAACTCGCGAAAACTAGCAAAATCTCGAGTCAAAATCGCGAAAACTCGCGCCCTACTCGCGGCAACTCGTCGTACACCTATTTTGGGAGTGGGGGAGCCCTCAAGCGGCCTTTTAAGTCTAGTGCTACAAAATTGCAAACGGATCTGCCTAGCTTTTAGTTTCAGTGATTTTTGTCCACTTATTTCTTATTCGGTCACACTGCGGTGTGGCGTGTTTCCACCTTATAGACGTACCTCAAGACGTGGCGTAACAACGGCGAGCTTGTCGCTATCAGGACCCATGCTGCACGTGGACGTAGGGTGCTGGTGGGGCACGAACAATCGTTAATTGTGAGGTGATGAACGTGCCCCCGTGACCATAATGCCCGGGGTATAGGGGGGGCATGTTCATCCCGGGATGAATATGCCCGCTCTGTGGTGTACTGTGATACAGGGCATGTTCATCCCGGGATAAACATGCCCCCCAGGTTTGTCCGTCGTAGGGGGGCATGTTTATCACGTGATGAACATGCCCCCCTATACCCCGGGCATTATGGTCACGGGGGCACATTCATCACCTCACAAAACTGAGACCAAATATTTCTGTAAGGATGTTTCCTGTAATTTTTACCCACAGTTTTCTGAGGTAAAATATGCGAGAAAAATTATTTTCAGTGGGTGTTTCTTTCTTCTATTTATTTCATATCGTCAATCGCTGACAGATTTCTCTGGTGAAACTGCTTGAATCGCTCGAACTCTTGGTGGAATCGAACCCTCGACCTTCTGGTCGTGAGCCCGATGCCTTGCCCATTGCGCTACGGCGCGCTCTATGCAGGTAGCCGGTAGCCCGTCCGTACTCCATCTCATGCTTCCTACTGTCCACGCGACTTTTCCTACGGATTACTGCCTTCTCTCTTAATGTGAGTACGTTATTATCCACAAAATAGGATTCTTCCCGCTGTTCGCTGTTTGAACGCACTGTCGTTCAACATTCTGGCCAATTTGAACCATATTGCTTATGTGCTCGAAAAATTATAGAAAGTATCTGAAAAACTTCATTACAGAGCATCTGTAATTTTACTAATACCTGTAAAATTACGAGAGTACGCGGGGATTTTTACAGACGCTTGTAAATTTACAGTAGTTTTCGCGAAAACGACCGAAATCTGTAATTTAACAGGTACTTGTAATTTTACCATAGAATTTCGGTAAAACTAACATCTTCTGTAAAATCACACCACTATTTCTGTAATGGATTATACGAATTATCGGTAAAATCACTATTATTTTTTACAGTGTGTCTAAAGAATATCATCCTCTACCTCTAAAACGCTTGAAGACACGGCAATTCTAAGGACTGACTCTGTTTCAGAATGTGCTGTTCCGGATATTACTCCCTCTGTCTTTTTTCGATTTGAGGCCTTCTTGCATGTCTTGACGAGGGGGTAATCACTACAGAAAGTAGGTGTACACATTTTTAGAAAAGTGAGTGACAAAAAATTGACTGAAAGTGACGAAAACGGAAAGAAAATGTTTTAAAAGAGACTAGCCGTGCGTTGATCAGATCAAAAATGAATAACATAGAGTCGATACAGGCATAAGAATGTGGTAACCATTGAAAAACAACTGAAAAGTGAAGGAAAATTACGAAAAGGGAGTGAAAGTAGGAAAGTTAAGAGTTGAGGTGTACGCATTTTCTCGAAGTGATTACCCCTTCGAAGGGATCGTGTCTTTATGTACAGCCGAGGGGTGAACAACTGGTGTATTCCTCTGTCCCCGAGGCTTGTATTACCTAATATTACCGTATATTACCATGTATTCTATGTATTACTTTGTGTTACCATGTATTACCTTGTATTACCTTGTATTATATTGTATTACAAGATTTTTTTTTCTCTGTAATACCTTATATTACTCTGTAGTACCATATATTACTTGTAATATCATGTATTTCTTGTAATACCTTGTATTCCCTGTATTACCTTGTATTACTTGTAATACCTTAAATTACTTATAATACTCTATATTACATTGTAATACTTATATTATTTGAATTCTTGTAACCCTCTGTATGACTTGTATTACCTCGTAATACCTGTGATACCATGTAGTATTACTTTGTATCACCTTGTATTACCTTGTAATGCTTGTAATACCTTGTAATACTTGTAATACATTAATATTACCAGTATTACCTGTATTACATATATTACCTTGTAATATATTCCTCTGTCCCCGTCTCAGCTCAGTTGTTCACCCCTCGTGTACAGCGTGGTCATTTTCGGCGTATTTGCGTCGAAAAGGCACTTCTAGCGCCCAAACGCTGAGAGATAGAGCGAAACGGACAAAATGTCGGCCTAAAGAACGCCACTTTTTGGAGTTACTCCTTAGAAGATCATAAAAAAAATTAAAAAAAAAATTGACCACTCTTTCTTTTCATACCAATTTCAACCCCTTGGGGGTGGTTGCCAGGACGCGTTTTTGTTTTCTAGGAGTGAACTTTGAGATACCCTAAAATTTTGAAGTGCAGGTGGGCTTAAAATGGTTATTCTAGGGAGACTATAGCGAAATGCCGAAAATCTATGTCAGATGCAATACGAGAAATATTGTTCGTAATTGTTTTAGAACTTATTTTCAGGTGATATGTGAGCTATGGTGCGACTTAATCTACAAAAACTATGCGCAAATCTTTCATGAAAAACTTCTGTGCACTTGGTTTTTTTGATGAAATTGGTGGCACTAACTGCTTGAAATGTGCGCATCTTTCTATGGACATTAAAAGTCAGCAGAGATTGGCACAATGCCGTGCCCAGATTTTCTTTATTTCTCTTTTTATTTAGCGGAATTCCTTTGTTCAACTTTAGCCCTATGGGTTATTAGAAATCACGGGCTAGTGCAGCTAAGTGCGTCAAAACATAATTTTACCGACGGGAACTCCGTTTGGGCGTCGGTAGCGTTTTATCAAGCCCTCTGCTTGACAAGTCCACTGTAAAAATAATAGTGACTTTACCGATAATTCGTGTAATCCATTACAGAAATAGTGGTGTGATTTTACAGAAGATGTTAGTTTTACCGAAATTCTATGGTAAAATTACAAGTTCCTGTAAAAATACAGATCTTCAGGACAGTAGGAAGCATCAGATGGAGAACGGACGGGCTACCTGCACAGAGCGCGCCGTAGCGCAATTGGCAAGGCATCGGGCTCACGACCAGAAGGTCGAGGGTTAGATTCCACCAAGGGTTCGAGCGGTTCAAGCACTTTCGCCAGAGAAATCAGTCAGTGATTGACGATATGAAATGAATACAACAAAAAAAAACAGCCGCTGAAAATTTTTTTCTTGCATATTTTACCTCGGAAAAATGTGGGTAAAAATTACAGGAAACATCCTTAACCATTTTCACAGAAATATCTGGTATCAGTTTTACAGAAATGTTGATGAGTTATTTTTACAAGTGTTCTGTAATTTTACAAGCAGTGGTAATTTTACCAGACTTTCACTTGGCAACCAGTATACCTACACTTTTTCTGTAAAATATCCCCCGAAATTTTTAACAGTGTACGGTAAACGATAATTTGGCTGTAGCTTTTAGAAAATATTTGTTTTGTAATGTTCTTATTGCTATGGCAAGCGATAGTGAGTTTAAGTTTCTATTTCTCACCCCGTTTGCCGAGCCCACTCCGTTGAAGGTGCATTTCCAGAACTCGTCGGTGTTGAAAGTGAGCTTGGCGCACTGCGACGGCACATTATGGCTCATAGTGATGCCATTGTCGCGGAATACCTGAGAAAAGGGTACCATTATAAGAAAGTTGGCGCTACCCTTGCAAGTTTATGCAAAAACCTGATGAACTATTTTACACGAAGCTTGTGAAAATCTGTGAGCGAGCATGCCCTGTTGCGTACTGTCAATAATCATCAGTTATGAACAAAATTGTTCATATAATTCGCAGAATTTGCCTGTATAATTGTGTAATAAAATAAAGAGAAACACATTACATTAAAGAGTTGAGACTAATTTGGTGTGTTACTCTTGTTTAACCCGGCATGCACCACAGTTTTGCACAATGTAAACAACATATGTATCCTTATTAATTAGGTTTTTAAGTAAATCTGACCTTTGTAGAGTTGAGTTTGACGGCGAGTCTAAAGGCTTCGTAGATAGGTTTTAGATCCGACTCGTCGCCAAATATATTGTAGTAGATGAGGGGCATTCCGTACGGATCCGTCTTGTTTAGAAGGATCTGTAGAGCAACAGGGCCGACGAAATTCAACAGAAGAACGATATCACGAAGTTAAAATGTGTACAATAGCTTTCCTTCAGATCTGTGTAATGCAAGCCTTGTTGGTTATCAAGCTTCATATAAGAGTTTGGTACACACCTGTCGACTCTCAATTGTCATACTCCATAAAGATCATAGCATGATCTCAAATAAAGCAGCCCTCAGTAGAATCTCATCTAATTGATTTACCCAGCACCTGCCTCAGTGACTTACACTACAACATGGTGCAGTTGATGAAGGAGTTTATAGCTAACAAGCAGGCCCGCCCTTCCGCCAAACAAAGTTGCCAGCTCCGCTTCGCTCCGCCGGCAGGGGCCGGGTCTGCTTGGCCTGCCGGCGGCGATGGTCGGGCCTGCGGCCCGACCATTGCTGTCACGCGATTTGCTGAAGAACATGGTCGAATGATGTAGCGGGTCTTCGGCCCGCTTAAACCCGTCGTCTTTGAGTTTGCCCCAAAGACTCGGGAAAGGGATGTAACCGAGAGGTATCTCACTTCGTCCAATCAGTGTACGGTCTTAAAACTAATCATTTTCCAATCACATACCAGTCATTTTCCAATCAGTCCAATCACTCCGATCATTTCCACAGATCAATCAAATTTTTTTGAAAACAAAGTACGTGTACTGGCATTTTCCTGTGAATTTCTTTGCATTTTGAGTTGTTTCAACCCTGACAGAAGAAGAAATAACACGCTAAAAACATATTTTCAATTTACAATGCCGAAGAAGGCCACATACATCAAAATTATGTGAAAGGGATGTTGTTTTCACCATTTTCAGTCTACATGCACCATTTTTTGACTCAATGTCTTTAGTCTGCAGCCCACATACCTCACAAAATTGGTTTTTAGAAATTTCTTTTTGTTTCCTCCAGTCACAGACATTTCCTGTTCCAATCAGTTTCTATTCAAATTCCAATCAGTCCAATCAATTTCCAATCAATTTCCAATCAATCTCCAATCATTTGACTCCAGTCAGTGTACACCTACTGGAGAAGTGACGTACCCCTCGGATGTAACGGTGAAGCACCGCGACTACAACCCACCCCCTCTGCTTACAAGACGTTTTTTGGGGGTGGGGGGAGAGTTTCCTTTCCATTTTGCGGTTTTTAAGCATTTTTCTACAACTTATTGTTCACAATGGCAATTGTTAGCTTATTTTCGTCGAAAAAACACCCTCTAGCGCCTAAGCAGTTAGAGATGGGGTGAAACAGACAAAATTTTCGCCCAAAAGCTCTACTTTGACGAGTTACCCCTTAGGAGAACATAAAGAAAATACTTTTGGGGAGAATTTTTGAACCTTGGATACCCCCATTCACACCCTTAGGGGTGGTTGCCAGGATTTGCCGTACGCGTTTCGTTCTCTATGAGTGGACCTTAAGATTCCCTGAAAATTTCAAGTCTCTAGCATATCTCCTTCTAGTGGAACAGCCAGACACACAGACAGACACACACGAGGTCGTTTGCATAAGCCCGCTCGATAGTTTTTTCAAAGCAGAAGGGCGGGCTAAAAAGTGAGTGCTCACTGCAAAAACGTAGGAGTACGTGCAGCAGCCCGTAGCGGCTGAGCTTTAGTCGTTAGTGTGGTAAAATTCTCGAGGGGGAAATCACTTGGGTCCGTAGCGTACGGGCTATTTCTGGTATTTCTCGAGTATTTCTCCTGCCATTTCGGTTATTTGTCGCCTATTCCGGATTATTTCAGGGTATTCCGCGGTATTTCGTAGTATTTTAGGGGTATTTCGCGACTATTTCACCGACTTATTCGTGTCTATTTCCTGTCTATCTTGCTCTAATTTGCCCTTTATTTCGAACTATTTCGGGGGAAGCTGTGCGAACTATTTCGCATGTGATTTCCCCCTCGAAAATTCTCAAATGTAACGGCTAAAGGAATATAGAAATAGTTGAAAGGCCAGGGAAGAACGTTAGGGGCGGGGGGTGAAAGGAGGGGGGGGGGCACTAGAATATTTAAAAATTACCATAGTCCATAACTTTTTTTCCTTCTTTGATGTTCCCAGTTTAAAATTTTGGTTCTAGATTTTCCGGTGTCATTTTTAGTTCTCAGTAATTTGAAATGGGAGTATCAGCGTCACCACGCTGACGCTCGGTCCCGCCGCGGCCAGGCGCGCGCCGACGCCCAGCGCGGTGCCGGGGCAGCGCCTGAGATAGTTATGCGTGCCGATTAAGCGCACCACTCATAAGATTTCGAGGCATTATGCTAGAGCGGTCTCACCCGCTGTCTAAGGGAGTCAGTCTAGTTTTACACCTCAAACCGTTCGGTTTGGACCACGCTGGTCGTGGGTCCCTGTCCACCGTGGTGTTGGACTATAGAGTTGCGCCCGTGTGGGCCAGTCAGTGAAAGTGCAAGTGTAGATACCTAATCCCGGTGTGTCGAGTCAGTGCTGCAACAGTTAGTAGCTTGGGGTCTTTTTTTTACGAACCCCGTTCAATAACTATTGGGTGTGAGGCGTACCACCAGGCGAACCACTTTATATACGCATCATTTTGAGGTGACGGTTGGTCTTTTAGTTACCCCCACTTTCCGGTATTCTTGTTTACATGTAAATTTAAGGAAAAATACGCAGGAAATAGCGTAAAATTACAAGTGTGTGGTAAATTTACAGACTTTCGGTAAATTTACCACACATTCAAAGGTAAAAATACACTTTTGGTATTTTTGTTATACAATTACAATTGCTGTAAAATTACCAAAATGATAATTTTACATAAAATGTGCAGGAAAAATACCACAGTCTGTAAAATTGCCCCACCACTTCTGTAATAAATTTACCAAAACTTCTGTAAAATCACTAATAATCTTAACAGTATATAATCACATTAATGGCAGAAAAAGTTTAAATAACCAGATAACATTAGTCCACCAAGTTCACTCTCAATGCACCAGAAATAAAAATCATATAGTTATTATTCCGAAGATATATTCTGCTCACTGTGGAACTTCAAGTGTCTTGTATCAAGCTATTTCTCTTGTTAACTGTATATCAGAAGATCTGCTACCAGCAACCTCCGATTGGAAATTCAAAAGAATGGAAAACACGCTTCTACCATCAATTTGTGCGTACATTTTACAGTTAATTTTCAATTTATCTACTCCACAATTATTAATTTGTTTGCGTCCGTACAGGGCAATTGCCCTTGGGCTTTGCATGTTACTTAGATAAAAAATAAATAAACTGACTTACCTGTCCACGACTCTTGGGATGGAGGTTTATAGCGTTAAAGCCAAGCTGGTTAAAGTAGGTGCCAGCTGTCTCGGGTGTGGCACAGTTTTTGCCTTTGGAAGTCAGGTACTGGGAGCCGCCGATTGGAATTTGTATGTCAGGGCGAGGATCACCGGCTTTTTGGTATTTGGACCGGAAGAAAACGTTGGCCTGCGATAAAGGAACAGCAACGGACGAACTTTTAAAGAGAAATTGTGGTTCAGAGCTGGTGGTAGACAGTTTTCTATCATAAATCCAGCCCACTGAGCTATTTATTATTTGCATTCTAATCTCACATCCAATGCTTAAGGTCAGGTGGGCCGCTAGACAGCCTAAAAAATCTTTGTGCTTTAGAAAGTTTGTTTTGTTTTGCTTTTTAAGTTATCGTTTGATCTGTTGTAACACAGCCTTAAAGAAAGACGCGAGGTGGACCGCTGTCGAAAGACGGCGCCTTTACTCCGAATGCAAAGAGACGTGACACTGGTCCTAGAATTCGTCCACAGCCTTGGATAACAGGTTCTGTGGACAAAAACGTGGATTTTCTCTCAAATTGTGTAATTAGAAAGATCAAAATGTCTCCGGAGAATGTGAAAGAAATTTGTCTGGCCGGTGCTTAAATTTGTTTTTAACTTGTGGAATAGCATTTTGTCCACGCCTCTGGACGTTTAAACACGTTGACAGTTTTTGTAAGGAACAACAAAACGGGAGCTTTAACGGAATGCCTTCTTGCTGACAAAACAGTTTTGTTGGATTGATTGGAATGTTTCTGTGCACATCTATATTAGAGACTTAGAGATGCATTTTTTTCTAAAACTGGACAAGTGTTAAAATTTAAACAATATGTCCAAAATTTTAGGAACAAATTCGCCTCCAGTCTGGTCGTGGTTCATGTAACAATGTTTTTCTTGCGCATTTTCAAGCTGATTACTTCACGCGGAACTCGACGAAAACGGCAGCCTCCCTGACTGCCAGCACCTCTGTCAGATTTTAACCTTCATACTTTCAAACTGCACAATGAGCGTAAGTACACTCTTAATGTGAAAAAACAATGTTTGTGGATGTCAAAGGTTTCATATTTAAGATAACTTTAAGATGCTAATCTGAAAAAAAAAGGTGTGTCAGAGTAGTGAAAACACCCCTTTCCCGGAATTGATATCGACTCGGGTGGATACATTTCATCTCCAGTTTAAATACTTAATGTGTAAAATTTAATTTCGATACTCTTCAAATTTATATCGGAGAACTGACTATAAGCGAGGCTGATCGGCGATCGGCCAACAAAGAAGATTCGAAAACAGTGTTTGTTAGAATGGTGCTCGTAGCAAAAAAAATATAACATAAAAAAAAACGAACACTGTTTTCGAACCTTCTTTATTGGCCGATCAGCCTCGCTTGTAGTCAGTTCTGTCATAAATTTGGTCTACTTCCACCAAAGCACAGCAGAAAATTGATCCGTGGCGAAATCGCGGAGAAATTATAACAACACGAGACGCGTGCACGGGCCGGCCAGGACACATCGAGCTTACTCTGCCTTCAGAATATCTTTTCACTCACTTCGGACGAACGAAACTAGTTCGCAGGCTCACTCACTAGGATGTAGCTTGACTCGTACCCTTTCGATTCACCACTCGTTGTCATAGTTTTTCAGACGTTTCTATAGAATAGGTTTGAGTTTACTCCCTACCAACAGAGATTGGTCACAAAACGTCAAAATGATAAAAATTCGCATCACTATGACGTCTTTTTGGACCCGAAAACGTCATTTTCACATCACTAATACGTCAATCTGACGTTTTGTGACAAATCTCTGTTGGTAGGGCTGAAGCGCTAGAGTCGGGCGTGGCTCGCCCGACTCCTGTCGCGGCGCGCCGAGGCCGCCGAGGCGAGTGGTGGGGGGCCGAGTCTCGCTATAAGGTAGTTGCCCGATAAGAGGAAACAAGAAGAAGGTAGCACCGAGGAGGTTACGTGGCGTAGCGCCGTCCCTAAACAAAGCAGAAGATGAGCGACAGTCTAGCAGAGGTTAGGATGCGTGTCGTTACATTTCAAACAGTTTCGAACGGGCCAATGCATCTAGCACCTTGGTACCAACTATACCAAAGTTTATTACGACAGTTGAGTCATTATCATTGAGTTAAAATAGTACCAATTCAATATGTCCGTACACTGACCTAAACAACGACACCGGGCGGTTTGGAAGATTGTATAACCTTACTTTTTAAAGCCAAACTTTGCAGAAGCACTCTTTGACACAAGGTTGTTACGCCGGTCTACACCGAGAAAAATGTTTCGCTGATTCAAGCATAAAATGATGCGTGATTTGGCAAATAATGCACCAATGCGTGATGGCTCTTAAAAAGTATCTTTGAATCTGGCATCAGATGCGAGATCTACGCATTAGTGCGAGATCCAGGCACTTGCTGAATGCTTGCATCAAGTGCCGTATGCTTGACCCACGTATTCAATGCATACAGCAGCCATCATATGCTTGTTGGAAAACCAAGTATCTTGTATGCGGAATCCACGCATCAGCAGCTGGTTTCAGCATAATTTTCTCTCCGTGTAGTATGAACCCAATTTTTCTTAACAAATTCTAAAAAACTCTATTTATGATCACACATCTACTTGCGCCAAAACACAGTATGGTCGCCGCACGGTAAAAAGAACATCATGAAATTCAAGTAGATTCCTTGAAAACTGTCTTGTAAACCAAGAAGATGGCGTGAAATCCAAGATGTCATTTTTACTGTGCGGCGTTCTGCTTTGTTTAGGGACGGCGCTACGCCACGCCACCTCCTCAGTGCTACCTTCTTTTTGTTCCACTTATCGGGCAACTTCCTCATAGGCAGACCAGAATAAGTTCACACTTTTCCTCTCCCCCTCTCGCCTGCGATCTCCTGTGCTGCCCGTGCTTCAAAAAGTGGGACCTCAGGCTGTTCTCACTATACTGCATGGGATCACTCCGAAGCGCCGCGTAGCCACCCCATGCTAAGGTGCCCAAACCAATAAAGTATTCCGGTAAAAGTGAAATGCAAAAGAATGCGGGGAACAAGAAAATGGAAAATGTACCAGGTGGCTGATTCACGCCGCGCACTTTAGTACTATGCAACCCGCCCGCACGGCTCCATCCGGGACTGCATACCCATAAGGCGCAGGGGACCGGCTCCAAGCACCAAAGCGTCGCTCCACCACTGTTGTTGGAGCTTACGCCTAGGGGCGTTACTAGGGGTTGTTCGCGGTCTCGCGCGAGTTCCCGCGAGTCCGCCGGGGATAATCCGTGAGTCAGCGGGGGCAACTCGCGGTTCTACGGGGGTGACTTGCGGATCCGCGGGGGTAACTCGCTGTTCCACGGGGATAGCTAACTGAGCCCGCGGACCGTGGCCCGTGGCAGGATCCGCGGACCGCGAGCTACCCCCACGGACCCGCGAGTCACCCCCGCAGACCCGCATGTTACCCCCGCGGACTCACGGGTTACCCCTCGCGGACCCGCGTGAACTCGCGCAAGACCCTAGTAACGCCCCTAGGCGTAGGCTCCAACAACAGTGGTGGAGCGACGCTTTGGCGCTTGGAGCCGGCCCCCTGCGCCTGATGGGTATGCAGTCCCGGATGGAGCCGTGCGGGCGGGTTGCATAGTACAAGAGTGCGCGGCGTAAATTTAGCCACCGGGTACATTTTCCATTTTCTTGTTCCCCGCATTTTTTTGCATTTCACTTTTACCGGAATACTTTATTGGTTTGGGCACCTTAGCATGGGGTGGCTACGCGGCGCTTCGGAGTGACCCCATGCAGTATAGTGAGCACAGCCTTAGGTCCCACTTTTTGAAGCACGGGCAGCACAGGAGATAGCAGGCGAGAGGGGGGGAGGACGCCCCTGGGCGTTTGCCCCAACAACAGAGGTGGAGCGACGCGTTGGCGCTTGGAGCCGGTCCCCTGCGCCTGATGGGTATGCAGTCCCTGATGGAGCCGTGCGGGCGGGTTGCATAGTACAAAAGTGCGCGGCGTGAATCAGCCACCTGGTATAAGCGTATAGTGATTTCCATTATGTCGTTCTTTATGGGCTTTACCAGAATGTTTTATTACTATTTTGAAAAAAGAAATATGTTTTCCCTATACCTCCATGTACGCAAGAACGCATCTGTTCATGTGTGGTGTAGACCGCGTAGCCTTACCGGGTTGCCAGTTGCCGTGAGAGGGCCCATCCTTTGCTTGACGTATTGGGAAACAGTGGAAATCAGCTGCTGTTGTGTCCCTAGAGTTGCCGTTTTGCTGAGCTGGAACTTGACGTTCCCCTGAAATTCAACCGTTTTGAATTGTTGCCCATACATAGCACTAGGTACGCCAGACCACGTCTCGAGTAACAGGCTTCGCGATATCTCACGAAACACTGTTACGATACGACGCGCCTGGCGCGCATATAGCTAGGCCTACGGCGCTGACACCCGATACGAGTTAATGAGAGTGTATACGGGAATATGGCCTGCCGGCCCCAAAATTTGACATGCTCACAGCATTTGTCAGGGACTTAATGGCTCTCCTTTTTTTTTTTTTTTTTTTTTTTTTTGACGCTCGGCACTCCCTTGCATATGCAATATTTCTGTATTACAGAAAACTTGCAGTCAGTATCACACTGTGAATTACAGTGATGTGCCCGAACAAAATGACCCTGCAGTAGTGATTTCAATGGTGTGCTCGCCCGCCCAAATCAAAACAATAACCTGCAGTGAGTACGAATGGGATGACTGTTTGCCTGTTTGCAGAAGAAGGCAAATCTTACCTTGGCATACATGTGGTCATGAAGACGTTGCCCAACACCAGGCAAATCAACAATTGGCTTGATTCCGACATCACTAAGGTGTTGTTTAGGCCCAATGCCCGACAACATCAATACCTGCGGATAAGAGTGCCATTATGCTGGAACGCAATGTTTACTGTCGCGAAACAACGGAACAACGGAAAAGCGTCTCGACTCACTCGGGGGGTTGGGGTTAGATTCCAGCCCACACTGAATAGAAAGAATCATTGTTCCAACAACCGTCGTGTTCTTGTGGCCGGGTTGTTGGCCCAAAGATACGATGTTGCAAACCCTATGACAGCCGGTGGTTGTGCCACCGACCATTTCGTTGAGCCAGCATATCATGGTCGTTGGAATAGCGTCCGATGTTCATGAAGCCATTCCAAGAACAAAATGTTGTTGGCGGTGCAACTATCGTCGCTGGTACAATTATTTTTTTTGCGTGTGGTGCGAGGCAGCCGATTCGACTGTTTTACTTTTCGACACTCATAGAGGGTTGTGTGAACATTGTCTGCTAAACCTAGTGGAAACCTCAGACCAATGTCTGACAATCCTTAGTATAAATGGGCAAAGAACTGACTGCGAATAGGCCAAAGTGTGATAGAGGTTTGTGTGATGTTTTCCTGCCGTTTGTCGAGGGAAAATTGACTACCATTGACCGAAGTTTGGCAGCGAATCATCAGAATTTTGGCTGACAATGGCCTATCGTTTGACTGTGTGTTGGTCCGCAAGGATGGACATGTTCCAGACAACATTCAGACTACTTTTTAGCTTCGGGTACATGGAGCGAAATCGAAACCGTCCAGAAAATTACAGAACGGGTGCCAGGCGGCACTCAACGCGACTCGGGCATGTCTTTTGGCACCCTTTTAAAGCCCGTGCAACGTCGAACTAACCCCCGAGATGACCTTGCAAAATTGATTTTTTCGCCCTCGTCGACAACTTTGACCTCGGGTGACTTAATTAAAGGAATGTCCCCAACAATTGGCCCACCAGTCCCCATGGAAATCCATGCATGAAATTTTGGCTTTAACGATTTTGGTGTGCAGGCGTTTGCAGGCATGGATTCACAAGATACTACAAAACTATTTCTCTGCAGCTCCTCTTTCTTCCATCAGTACACTTAAAAATTGTTAGCAACTGGTGCAGCAACTTTGTGCCATAATAACCATGTTTTTTTTTGTTGTTTTTTTTGGCAAATAGAAACATGTAAGGAGCCTAGGGTCCTACGATACATGGGGTCCCATGACACACGGGGTCCCATGATACTTTTGCGATATCTCAGATACGATAGTAGTTACGTCCACCAAAAACAAGGGTGGTGTTCTTCAGCAAACGATGTTGTTAGAATCAAGAATGGCTGTTCTACTACACCTAGCCTCAGCGTGAGTCACTCCAAAAGTTTTACTTACAAGGGAAGGTTTTAAGGTGTTACACACAAATTTCGCTGGGCGCGATACATATTGCAGGGGACATATGTAGATTATGATTGGCACCGGTTTTAGCTGCTCATACTATCTTTTTCGTTTGTTTTGGACAATTTTTAGTAGGAAAACATCATAAAACCAGAAAAATGTGATCTGCAAATGCCTATATCTCCGGAACCGTTTGAGCTACGCCATCCAGATTTTGCACAGAGGTAGTCCGCATAAATACGTTAATTGTCTAAAAATATGGGAACAGTTGAAAAAAATTGTTGAAATGGTCCGAAATCCAAGTCAAAATCCAAGTAAGGAAGGTGCACATAGTTTGTGACATTTTCTTCGACGTTTTTCGAAAAAAAAATATACTTTACGATAATTTAGTTACAAATTCGGCCTACCTCTGGAATAAATTCTGGAATAAATTCCAAATATATCATGGGACCCAAAGCCTGGGGTCCCATGTTACTTTTCAAGATGTTCGTAGATAAGCCTTTGCTTTCAAATGGGTCGTACAAAAATTACAAAATAGGTGTCATTCAAAAAGTGAAGCCTCATACTATAATACCAAATCATGAAAATGGGGGTGCTGTGCCATTTGTGGCCAACAGGGCTGAAATCCAAAAGAGTGTATCACACTCTCTTATGTTTGTCACTGTCGTAAAAATGTCCACTGTAAACTGGTTGGTGTTTTTTCTCCCAAATATTGGCGTCGTCTGGATAACCCTAGATCATGGGGATCAAAGACGCCAATATTTGGAGTTCTGAAATAGAAGGATGCTAATCACTGTACTTGCAGTGTATCTTCTACTGCTTTGTATTACAAAGAAATTGTATATGTTTGTACAGTTCCAGATAGATTTTCCTTTGGTTATTACAGACACGCGGTTGGTTGTAATATAGAAGCAGATTATCCATACTACAAATTTAAGTACTTATTTGTGTTACCATTAAAGTGGTAAAATTAAAATACCATTGGTTTATGTGCACAGAATTCTTGGTAAGTTACGAGGGGCCTTGTTTGTAAGACTTCTATAGAAGCACAGACGTAGGAACTCAAACAGGTCTTGGGGTGGCCTGCACGTAGTAAGCAATTATAATTTGTTTAGAATTTTGAATGGTCAGAATTAGTCTTTCCTAAACAGAGAAAATTTTTGAAATCCATTGTATGTAACATACGCCCAAACATTTGACTATAGTCCTACAGTGAAGAAAACGACGAACGGCTAAAATGGACTGGTTTTCGTCACACTTGCTCTTTTCCGTCGAGTTTGGACAGCTTTCGAGAGAGAGGGAGAAGCTTGGACGGTCCTGGGCCCACAGTTAAAACCTTGCGAAGCAAAATGCCAAAACCTTTGCAGCTGCGAAGCATTTGTTTCGATTTCTTCGCTACTGCGAAGCAAATTGATCGCGATTGCGAAAACTCTAAATTCGAAGGTACTATTGTTTCCGAACTGGGAACATTTCTGTGCACATCCAGATCCAGCTGGATGCAAAATTTGTTCCTGTAACTAAACAAAAACTTTACACGACCTGTCTCCCCGTTGAGAACAAATTTGCATCCAGCTGGATCTGCACAGAAACGTTCCCAGTTCGGAAACAAAATAGTACCTTCGCATGAAGAGTAAAGGATTTGGCATTGCGCCCTTCGCAAGGTTTAAACTGTGCCCACCTTGCACTACTTACTGGTCGACTCTACAACTGACCTGTGGTGAGTTAAAGGAGCCGGCTGAAAGCACTGCGGCCTTGTTCAGCTTGACAGTCTTCCTGCCCTGCGGACCGTCGTACTCGACGGCCACGGCGCGCGGCTTGCCCGGCCCGCTGGACAGGATGACACGCCTGACGGTTGCACCGGTCTGCACCGTCAGGTTGGGCCTTTTTCGCACGGCGGGCGTGAGGAACGCTCGGTTTGTGCTGACGCGCTCGCCATTGGAGGACGATGGTGCCTGTAAGGAAAGCATTATAGGTGCATCCGCTTTTGAGCCCGCCCTTCTGCTTAGAAAATGCTATCCAGCGGGCTTATGGAAACGACCTCGTGTCTGTCTGCCCGTCTGTCTGTTTCACTAGAAGGTGCTATAAACTTCAAATTTTCAGTGTATCTTAAAGTTCACTCCCAGAAAACGAAACGCCAACGGCAAATCGTGCCAACCACCAATAAGGGTCTGAAAAAGGGTATCAAAGAAAACGGGAGGTCAAAAGAGTGAAACAAAAATATTTGTTTATGATTTCATAAGGGGTAACTCATGAAAGAAGATCCCTCTGAACTAAAATTTTGTCCTTTGACGAACCCTAAACGCGGGCGGATTTGCACCATCACAGTTCACAGTGTGTTCTTTCCCAAGTTTTAAGTGACACATTTTCCCTAGCCATCTCTCACCGATTGGGCGCTAGAGGTGCTTTTTCGACAAAAATACGCCGAAACACTGTAATTTGAAGTGCGATACTTTTCTCACATTTCCATGTGATAAAATTCCCTGTGTGTTTTCCATGATTAATTACGCCTGGGGAAGTGATGAATTTTTATTACAAATTTTCTGACACGCATTGCATATGATGCGATGGTTCTGGATTAATCTCAAAACGGCGTGACGCATAGTGCATAAAATTATGATGCATCAAAGTGTCGCTCAAATAAGTGATGGTCATTACAAATATAAGCAATAAAAATAATATCGTACTTTCCTGGCGATGACCATCACAACATCGTGCAATATTTCTGTATCACAGACAACGTGCAGTCTGTAACACAATCTGATTAACAGTGCACGGCTCAAAAAGTTTTTCTCTTTTATCCTGTTTGTATGTATGTATGTATGTATGTATGTATGTATGTATGTGTGTGTGTGTGTGTTTGAATCTTTGCCTGTGGGCACCACAACCCGAGAACAAAATCAGGAATATGGGATTTTAATGGACCCTTTCTCTCATAGCAAAAGTATATGGTCTCCAATTGTCACCAGATTTGGTGTACAGTTTCTTCTAAGGTCCCTTAACATTCTCTAATTTTTGTGGGAAGGTAATATTCAAAGAAATTTAAAATATTTTTTTACTAGTTTTTCTATGTTAAATATTGAAAAAAAAAAAGTTTAATTTTTTTTTTAAATATTACCTTCCCACAAAAATAAGTGAAAGTTAAGGGACCTTGGAAGAAACTGTACACCAAATTTGGTGACAGTTGGAGACCATATATTTTGCTATGAGAGTAACGCTAATATGCTAAATTTTGATCGAAGGGTAGAAAACTCAAATCCAACTTTTTGACATTGGTGGATTAGAATCAGTTTTTTTTATCCTCTTTCAAATGGTCTAGTCAAATTTCACCTCATTGGACATTTTCATAGAGTTATACCTACACCACCCTTTAAAACCACTATTTTTGCCTCAAAACTTTAAGAATTTATATCTCCTGAACCGTTTGAGCTACAGAAACCAGATTTAGAGTGGGTTCATATTTCATGAATACCTTTAATTTTCGAGAGGAAAAATAAAATCCGAAACCAGACCCGTAATCTTGGGTCAATGATGAAAAGAACTACTCAAATACAAGTCAAGTTCGCAAAGAGACGGTGCCTTTTATTTTCCAACTCGTTCTTCCCATGTTGGCCCCCCGTGTCTGTTTCTTCCGCGAACGAGTGTCTCATTCTCCACCTTTAACTTCTCGCTCATCGGGCAGCCTACCTCTATATGTTATGTATGGGTTACATGAATAGCTCTACGGAATCACTGGAAGTGCTTCCAACGAACCCTAACCACCTTACATCGAATCCTAAGATAGTGGATGCAGAATTAAAAGGATAACATCTCTGCACATAACTTTCAGAGGCCTTGCGCAAGCGTACTGCTGGTCTGACGTGCATCTCGTTAGTCCATTTACATTACAATAAAGAGTGACATTGCTTCTCTGGGACCAGTAAACCAAGGGGAAATAGGCTCCAAAAAATGGTACACCCGAAGTCGAAGTTCATAAACTTCGGCCGAAGTTCACTGAAGTTCGCTATGTAAAATTTGATCGACGTTCACTGAAATTCACCGAAGTTCACCAAAATCCATCGAAGTTCACCGAAGTTCAAAATCAGAAGTTGAAGTTCCTCAAAGTTCAAAATTAAACGTCGAAGTTCCCCAAAGTTCAAAAGAAATGTCGAAGCTCCCCGAAGTTCAAAAGAAATCATAGAAGTTCACTGAAGTTCAAAATCAGAAGTTGAAGTTCCTCAAAGTTCAAAATTAAACGTCGAAGTTCCCCAAAGTTCAAAAGAAATGTCGAAGCTCCCCGAAGTTCAAAAGAAATCATAGAAGTTCACTGAAGTTCAAAATAAATTAGTACATATTTTTAGGCTGAACTAGCGATTTTGAGTGCTTACTTTAAGCGAGTCCCTAGCTGACTCAAAGCAGATATCTACGAGCCAAATAACAAAGATTAGGAAGGAAAAATTTTGCTTTCATGTCTCTGGATCAGGTTGAAGTTCGAGAACTTCGGTCGAAGTTCCGCGAAGGTCACTGAAGTGCTCGGAGTTCACTAGAGTTCACTGAAGTTCACCGAAGTTCGCCGAATTTCAAGGAAACGTACACCGAAGTTCAAGCCTAATTCCCCTTGCAGTAAACGATTGAAGTTATATGTCCAACTATAAAATATGCACATCATCTTATGCGTTATATGTCTAATACATGGAAACTAGTCAAAAGAAGATTATTTCCTACACTGTAAACTTTGATAGGACAATTTTTACGGACAGTATGATGGAGGGTACAAGTTTTGGCAACAGTGGCCAAGGTACAAAACATTGGCCCCTTTTCGTGGCCGTTTTGCATGGCGCGTGCCGGATTACGGTGGGAGGTCGTGGTGCTCATTGGTGATCGTGGTCAAGAGCTTGTGGCGTGGGTCGGCGTAGCGTCCAGGTAGCGTCACCGCCCCGTGCCCCCGCCCCCACCCCCAAGGGAGTGGCCTTCGCCATCATGAAGTGGCCAGGCGTAGTGGCCAGAGACACGCGGGGAGGGGGGGGGGGGAGTTTGATGAAAGTGTGGTCAAAATTGTACCATAGGGTACAGCTCAGCCATCGTGGCGTGGCCCGGCCTAGCCCCCCCCCCTCCTCCTCGGAACCCGGCGACGAGGCAGGTCAGAGGGAAACAAAGGCTGCAATGTCTTGCACCGCCCGCAACGCCCGCCCCCATGTGGCTCCGTGGCTCAGTAAGTTACGAACGAAGCATGAGCGCTGAGTTGGCATGGCCGAGGTTCTATTCCCGGCACTGCCAGCTACACGCGTATCTTGCGGCTATGTAGTAACTGAACCAACCATGATGACAGACTACCAAGTTAGTCGCTCCGTGTCATTCCTCCCTGTCACAGCACGACAGACACACGGACAGACAGACAACAGAGTGTGGACAAAATCGGCCCATAGGGTACAGTTCAGATCGCGCCGTGTCACTACTCCCTGCCGCAGCGCGACAAAACACGGACACACAGACAGACAGGCAGACAGCATGGGACAAAATCGTCTCCTACGATACGGCTCATAACACGAGCGCGGCGCATCTCCTTAATGATTTGTTTACACAAAAGCCAGACCGCATTGCGGTGACCACAACCATTACCACATGACAGCTTAGGGTGACGAGGGTATCCCCGCCCCGGCCAATTGTACCATGCAAGGGGCCAGCTCAGACTTGTATCTTATTTTTCGGGGTCGCTTTTTGGGACGAACCCTAAACGCGGGCGGATTTGCACCATCACAGTTCACAGTGTGTTCTTTCCCAAGTTTTAAGTGACACATTTTTCCCTAGCCTACCCCATGGCCCTTACCCTAGACACGCCGATCTGCTTCGCCCCGTTGACGTCCTGCACGCTTGGAATGCCGGCTTCCTCGTACGCCTGCATAAGCAGCTGGGTGTTCGGAGCAAGGTAGCTGTCCAGCATTACGTCCTGTATTTGAACAGATTCAATGATACTCTTTTTAGGAACCAAAACCTGATATACAAAAAAATTATGTTTTAATAAAGACAAAGAATTTTTACAGTGTGTAACTCTGTGCCAAATTTGAGACCTGTCCGATGAAAGGAACCATTCGCGACTCTCCCTAAAAAGTTTACTCACATTTGACAAAGAAAGCTCGTACATGTTGCATAGTCACATTCAGTATGACTTTGTGCCAATAGGGCCGATAGGGGAAAAGCCTGCAAATTGCTTCCGAACAACAGGTTCGTAATGCAAACCAAAACCTTCGTAGCTTGCGAAGTGTTTTGAAGCGTTGTATAACAAACTAATTCTTAAGTGTGATAGTTTTCACACAATTTCGTGTGATGAAATGTCCTGTGTGATTACCATGATTTATCACGCTTGGGGAAGTGATGAATTTTTGGCACAGATGGTGTGTGATACTTATTGCAAAATAATGCGATGATCCCGGATTTATCTTAAAACGGTGTGACGCATCGATGACAAATTATGATACCTCGAAGTATCGCTCAAATAAGTGATGGTCATCACAAATCTAATCAATGCATTTAATGTTGTACTTTTTCTGCGATGAACATCACAACATTGTGCAATATTTCTGTATTCCAGAAAACGTGCAGTCAGTATCACATGATTTGAAGCTTACGAATAAATAGTTCGTAATGCAAACTGACTATTCTTACAAACCTTTCTGGCTCTAGCCTCACCAATAATTGCTTTGCAATACAAACAATTTCTTTGCAATACAAAGAATGAAAATTGTTTGTAACGTTGCAAATCATTTAGTTTGTAAGCACTTTACAGTGCTCGGACACAGCTCCTTATTCGAGAAAGAGCATGAGGCTCCGGGGTAGGCAGCCGTTCTGCCTCAGGTGTGGATGTGGTCGCCTACGTCGGCACTCGGCGACGCGGGCCCACTGATGGTCTCTACTCGGCGATCACTCTCTCGCACACACTTGTCCTCTCCTTGCTCACTCCGGATAGTTATTGAAAGGGGTTCGTAAATAATAAGACTCCAAGTTACTAACTGTTGCAGCACTGACTCGACACACCGGGATTAGGTATCTACACTTGCACTTTCACTGACTGACCCTAACGGGCGCGACTCTATGGTCCAACCTAACGGTGGACAGGGACCCACGACCAGCGTGGTCCGAACCGAACGGTTTGAGGTGTAAAACTAGACTGCCTCCCTTCGGCAGCGGGTGAGACCCGCTCCAGCATCATATCTCAATATCTTATGAGTGGTGCGCTCAATCGGCACGCGTAACTAACTATCTCAGGCGTTGCCCCTGTGCTGCGCCGGGCGTCGGCGCGCGTGCCTGGCCGAGGCGCGTGCCCGGCCGAGGCGGGGCGGGACCGCGAGTATCAGCGTGGTGACGCTGATATACTGTAAAAAGCTTACCTTCAGACATGACCCTAGATTTTAGCACAGCCTAGAATACTTTGGTTAAGTAAATATTAAACAAAAAGGGCCTACCTGCAAACCGCCCTTCCCATGATGTATAGTATCCGCAGCGATAGCAGGGTCAAGGTTGTTTTCGGACTTTTTAAAGTAAGGTAGGACTTCCTTGTAGCTCCAGCCCGTGTTTCCGAGAGAGCGCCAATGGTCGTAGTCGCCGGCATTACCGCGCGTATAGTGAAGTGCGTTGACGGCGCTGCAACCACCCATTACCTTACCTGAAGAGGAAGCGGATGAATGTCAAAACGTAAAAATATCCTGACAAAAGCGTTACTTGTGCAATAGGGAAAAAGTGGGAGTTAGCAAACAATAATTTCGTGGGCTCGCAGAAAGATTGAATTGAAAACAACAAAAAGCACACAATATGGTTATTTAAATGTGTACGCGTGTCTATAACAGATTTAGATTACCTTATATTCTCTTTAAAAATTTCAGTCCAGTTTCATTGTTAAACAACCAATTCGATAAAAGGGTGAAAATCAAGGAAGCGGACAACATTTGAAGCCAGCTTGTTTCATTCAATTAGTACTGGATTTTTGGTGCAATATATTTTTCTACCCATGTTATCAATCGCTGAGCACCTTATATGAAAGGTTTTGTTGCAGTTTGATGCCAATTACAAAAAAGATTTCAAATTATTCACTTTAGGAAAGGGAACTCCATGGATGGACATTTCATTGAAGCTAGCTACTACTAGGTGTTCAAATTTGCAGTCCACAATCCGCTTTCTGCAGTTGATGCACCGCCCTGACGATGTTACAAATACATTAACACATCACTACTAAACCGTTTTCTGTGTCCCGCCAGTCTTTAAGATGCAAATCAAAAGTATTGTGTCAATGTGTCATTTTGGGTGAAGCTCAGGGCAGTGTCATTACCATGAACAAATGTTCCAATCACTCAAATTTTACCTATGAAGCATTTTTTCAGTACGGAGTGATGTCTAAGAGGTATGAACTGGATGTTGTTGTCATTAAATAGTGAGCTATGACTGGTAAAAGCAACTACTTTACCCCAAAATAGTTATTTAAACTGTGCTCAACAGGGAGAGGTTAGGTTGGGTCCACCCACCTTATCTCCGTGGGAATTTACATCTAGGAATCAATTAGTAGTTTGAGTGATAATTGGGAGTGAAATACAAAGAATATATATGCTCATGTAGCGTTGATTAAATTTGTACGCTTGGGGCTACAATCCTACAGGAGAGACAACCGTGTGAGGCTGTGAATGTCATCCCCATGGACCGTCATTACCGTGGACAAAATGGCCTGGCCGAGGAAGTCTCTTCGCGGAGTACAAATGCAGCTCTCTTCTAAACATCTCCGTGACTTCAAAGACAAATCAACACTCCCTATCAATAGAAGAGTTTAACTTGGACAAAATTGAGACCTTGTTTTCGCTCTGCTGTATTTATTTTGAACTTTGACGTTTTTAACCTCAAAATGTTGAAATTATTTTAAGTAATTGGAGAGACATACTATGAAGCCTGAGGGCCAGGGATTTGAGTTCATTTTGATTGGCAGTCAACAGTTTGCATTTTACATGAACAGAAATAACATTTTTTCTTTGTATTCTGTGATTATAATGGAAGAATTCAAGGGTCTAGGGACTGTCCAACTAAATCTAAAATAGCACTTTTGTTGCTCTTTTAATAAATGTGACTTAACCTTTTATGTGTTTCTTGTACCCTAATATGTATGTCAGATTTTTATCACTGATAGGGACAAGAATTCTAACTTTCAAAAAGCTGACTTCATAAGTTATCCTCTTCCCAGATTTTCACCCAAAAGTCAAGACTGAAAAATCAATGCATAGCGGAAGACCTCTTAAAAATAACCTTTCTTAAATTGAAGCTCGTAGGCAGCCTCATCAGTCACACCCACACTGGAAACAGGTGCAACGTATCACCCTTTTAGGGGTGTTAGTGCTCTCGTGCCTTTCCAAAGGCAAGACAGCACTTCTAACACCCTTAACGGTGCTACGATTTTGCACCTGTCGTGGCTCTGCAAAGCCATTAGAGCAGGAGCACCCCTTAGGGGAGTGATTTCGCAGCTTTGTTTTTCCAGTGCAGAGTGCAGTCCCTAAAACTTATGGAGCACATCGGATACCATAGACGACTTGTAGGTATACCATTTGGAAGGGACCATCACCATGTGAAATGTTCATTGCATTTGGAAACTTGTTTTATGCAGTGTGTTGTATAAAGCAGCGGTGTTCGATGCTTTATTACACAAAATTTTCTGCCGGAAAATTGCCTATAAGCTTCCTCCCTTCACGTACGCGACCAAACTGCAATTTCAGATCATTTCTGAATCTTACCTCTGTAAATTGATCGGCCAGCATCCCACGCACTTTTCTGTGATGTGTACTGCCAGTCGTAGAACGGTCCTGTTAAATACCTGCAGCAGACACTCGCTTCTTACTGATCGAATCCTTAAAATCGTATGCAATTGAATTGATTTGCGATAGGCGTCAGAGCCAATGCACAAATTTGTGCATAACCATGGCCACTGAAAATAGTGCAGGGCTAATGCACAACACAATTCGACTAGGATGACTTTAGGGTATTACTATTTCTAGTAAACAGAAAGGCTTTTTGTTGTTCTTTTTAGGAAACCTTTGAACGGTTCACTGAGTGTCTAGTACCGGTTGTATAGAGCAGGGACCATGCCTAGGTCAGGCTCTTCGGCCCCAGATTCCAGCAGGAGCACTTTCCACGACGACACCTCACTGAGACGACTGGCCACCACGGACCCAGAGCTCCCTCCGCCAATCACGATGAAGTCGTAGGGGCCCTAGAAAAAGCAGGTGAAATACACTTTAAATGATAAATGACAAGGGACATTTTTTGTGCCCTATGAGAGGGGGCAATCACTTCCGTACTAACTCGTTCGCCCAAGCCTGTACTAAAGGCGTACTAACAGCGTAATAACATGTTCTAATGGTAGAAATAAAGCGTAATAGTGCTGTCATAGTTACAAAATTTTGCACAAATGTGAAAAATGACGCTAAAAACAGGGTGTACTAATGTGTACTAACTAACGTACAGTCATGGATCCTAAATCCGAACGATTATACAATAAAAAATCGGTGTGGATCATAAAATCTACGGACCAAGACGCACCCACCACTACCTTGAACGATTTTTTGTCACCTACGGTGTACCTGTGAGGCCCGCTAGAACAATGTCCGTGTTTAAGAGCCAAAGTGCCCTAAAAACGAACAAGTCTTTGTAAAAGCTTATATCCGTACTTAGGGGACTTTCGGAAATTGCTTCTCAAACTTGACACGAGGGACATAAACAAAATTTTCTTGTGTCATCTTGTAGGGGGAGAGTTCTAGTTCTAGTTTAACATATCTCAACCTGAAAATTGTACGATCACCCGCCGTTGAGAACCCCACATTTTGGCGATGCAGTATAAAAATTGTCCGTTTTCGTGGCTCGAGTTCGGCATTTTTTGAGAGAACAGCATGCAAGATATCGGAAATATTTCTTCAAATCTATATTCTAAAAGGTATAACCTTTCTAGCGAACCTTCGGAAGCTATATTCCAAATACTTGTTTTCGATTTAGGGGCTTTAGTAGAAAACAGCAAAGTGTCGGACATGAGGGCGCTAGTCGGAAGTTAGGATCCATGACTGTACTAACTCGCACACTTTCATCAGGAGTGATTCCCCTGTTGGCCCTACACTCTAAAAAATAATACAGAATTCTTTATCAAATTTGATACAGAATTCTGTATCAGGCTCTCGTGATATGGAAACATGTAACATGGGTACAAAATTCTGTAATCTGATCAAAATGTTACAAAATTCCGTAAATGTTACTAATTTCTGTAACAGATACAGGATCAAGTAACGTTGGATACAATTTTCTGTATCCCTGAATACAGAATTATGGAACTTCGTTGGCGCGGTCTCCGGGAGCCCCGGTGGCATTACACCGGATTCCAGCGAACCTCTCCTCAGGTAGCCTGGGTGGCCGCGCGGGTAAAGGCGCCCTAATCCAAGGGTCTGGGGTTCAACTCCCGGTGCGACAAGGTACATTACTTGAAACAAAATCTAAGGAGTTAAATCCCAAAGATATTCTGTATCACGTGATAGAGATTTTCGTATCCATGTTACAGATTGTATCAAAAATGATACAAATTTCTGTAACATGTGATATGTAAATTACTGCGTAACAATGTTACAGAGTTTTGTACTGATTTTTTTTAGAGTGATGTGTTGCTCCTGTGAGCGTGTGCGGACGTTTCGCGCGATTCTGCTTGTCGGATACTTGCCCTATTTTTAACGTTCAGCGTACGGTAACCTTTGTCCAGAAATTTGCGTCCACAACCCGGTGTTCGAATCGACCTCAAATCGACGCACAGTGCGGCCGATCCGGGAAAAATTGGGCATAATTCGATTTTTCAATTCTCCCACATGTCGTAATCTTTAATGTACAAACTATCTAAAACCAGCCGGTTCATATTTATCTGCGCCCTACAACGATTTCTATGAGCCTTCAAACTTGACACTTCTGCCACCAAGAAAAACGGCGCGCAGCGCCTCATAACCTTAATTGTTTTGCGAGGCGATTATTCGTTACCTCAGGCACGGAATCGAACAAACTCTTTGCCTCAGAAGAAGTTGGAACCTTTACTCTAAAAAAAAGTTACAAGTTCTAGTATCAATTTTGAAACAAAATTTTGGAACCTTGGTTTCGGATTCAAAAATTTGTAATGCTGTGACAAAATTTTGTAATTGTTTCAAAAAATTATAACCGACGTACAAACTTTAACAATAAAAATGCAAATTTTTGTAACTGTTGCGGGTTTTTGTAATTGTTACAAACAGTATTTGTAAAATTGTGACAGGTTGTCGTAATCCTGGTATTATTTTTTGTTAACTAGATATAAAAATTTGTAACATAGGATGTTACAAATTTTTGCATCGCCGCATTACCGCATTACAAATTTTTGTATTCCAATAGGGTATTTCAATGGATCGCTGCCGAGGGGTGGACGACTGGGCGGCTCCCGTGTACAGGCCAAAATGTACTCCAGGTGTTCTCCGATTGTACTCCGACTGTACTCCGTGTACTCCGGCTGTTTTTGTCGCAAGTTCTCCGCGTAAATAAGAGTGTACTCCGGTGTACTCCGGGTGTACTCCAGGTGTACTCCAGGTGTACTCTGCGCGCTCCAACCGGCAATACTCAGTGTTCTCCGACTGTACTCCGTGTACTCCGTACTCCTGTGTACACGAAAAATTCAAGTCGCCCACCACTCGATCGCTGCCCGGAACTAAGAAGAACAAAACCGGATACAGAGAGCGGTGGTGGGGGCGGGCGCGCGGAGGAGCGGAGGGCAGGCGGGGAGGCTCCCCTCCCCTTTCGTATCACATGGTTAAGAAATGTGCAGTTGTAGACATCCAAAAAACAAAACAAACTTGTACACTCTCGTGTAAAACTTAGTGTGAGAGCAGGGCAGGGCTGCTCTCGCTGCCTACCGAAGGAAAATCTCTTCGACCCGAGAAATGATAAAGATTTCGTGTGTCGCTAGGAACTAGGCGCTAGATGGCGTAACAGTCAGAGCCTCTCTTACAATAACCATTTATTTGCATAAAACTTAAATTTTGACACGAAACTAACATTTAATTTTACGCTGTATGCTCTATAAGATAATGACCTTCAGTGAATATGCAACTTGTTGTTCAAAACGTCAACCATGCGCCAGGTATAATTGGTTTAATATCAACGCGCACAGGGTACCTGCCAACTCTCGTTGGTTGGGTGTGGCAACGTTTTCCAAGCATGATTGTAGCGTTTTCTACACCCTTCATTTTCGTGTCGGTGACTTCGCTTCCAGTGTCACTGATTGTCTCCATCCTACTTTGGAACAGTCAGTGCTCCGAGGGAAAGGCCAAATTTAGCAAATCAATTTTGCTGAAACCGGTTTATGAAATACTCGAAGACAGAGGGTTCTCGGGTAAATTCACCCTGCCTGCACTTCTGATGATTAGGCATTGGCTAACTGATATGACCCTTCCGGAAGGGCGATAAGAAAATACTACTATTTTTTGGATGTCGGCAACTGCAAACCACAGCACAAAATATTTCAAAATTTTGCAGTCAGAAAGGAAATATATGAAATGCGACGTTTCGAAAATTTGTAACATCTTATGTTACAAAATTTTGTAACCAGGAAGCAAATACTTGTAATCTGATGTTATTTGTAAATTTGTAATCTTGTTACTGAAAGAACTTCATATCAATGTTGCAAAATTTTGCACTGATTTTCGTCTTTCGTCTTTTCGAAAAGAGTTGTTTTGGTTAGCAGTTGACTTTATGCAACAGCCAATAACAGGCCGACGTGGGGATATGCCATTTTTTTCAGCTGAATCAGCTTTGGAGCAAGCGTGGTTTTCACGCCTCCGGCGTGATTTTCACGCAAGCGTCTGCTAGCAGCGTGATTTTCACGCAAGTTCGTAGTTGCACTTGGGAGATATTCGAGAATGTGTACCCACTAACTTGCGTGAAAATCATGCTGCTAGCAGACGCTTGCTTGAAAATCACGCCGGAGGCGTGAAAATCACGCTTCTTCCAAAGCTGATTCAGCTGAAAAGAATGGCATAGCCCCACGTCGGCCCGTTATTGGCTGTTGCATAAAGTCCACTGCTAACGAAAACAACTCTTTTCGCGCTAGCGGCGTGAAAATCACGCTCGCTTCTTGTGAACTCTGAATCCATCTTTATGTCCGCCTTTTCCCGGATCGGCCGCACTGTGCGACGTCGATTGAGCGGTCGACAAGTTTTCGAATCCGAATGTCGATTCGACGGGATTTTGTCCACTAAATCGACGTTGTATCTACCAAGTCAAAATTTCATCGATAACGGTCTAAATGGGCAGATAAAAATGGAATATAAAAGCTTACGGGCGAGTTAAGTTCCCAATCGGTCTTAAATGCAAGACTTCCTGTAGCAGGCCAAGTCCTATCCGGACTCCTCCCGGGTCAACGGGAAGACGTCTCCAATGTTAAGTTGTAATCGCCAATATGTCCAATATGATATTTCTTGCAATTTAAACACTTCAAGACCAGTAAGCTTAGTGAAGATTTGGCGAAGGGTAGTTCGCGAGTAACACCGATAATTCCTCGACAACTTGGATATTTTTCTCCGGCGATAACCTCTCGAGCACTCGAAGTCGATTTGACCATCTATTTCTCACTGGGACAAACACTACTTTCTAGCTACTTCCAGGAACAATAAAATGTGCTTTTTACTTTGGCTGCCTTTCAAATAACGAGTTCTTTTCTCATGCCATGTCGGTCAGGATTGTGGAACTGTCTTTTAAAACGAACATTTTTACGGAACTGATAAAACTATAGTAGGTACCTGAACAATGTCCTTGGTCTGCTTTGCCTTCTGTTGAGCCGTCGCAATGCCTTTCGTGACGATGGCCGTCAAAAGAGCGGCGAAGACAGAGGCCGCTGAGCAGTTCGTCTGGGCCTGGGCCGTCCACGCAGCCGGCGAGGTGAGAGGGGCGAGCCACATCTGAACCCGAAAAGTACCGTCAAAGTGTCATATTCCGGACAAATTTGACCGTTTTTCCTCAATATTTCTAAAACCGGTAGGGGTATGAAAAATTCCAGCGTATTCTAGAAACTAGGAGCCAAGATACATATTTTCCATCTGAAGAGGAAATTTTCTTTGCGCCAGTTCACCTGCACAAGCCTCAGAAACCCCGTCCGGATTTAAACCCGAAGCCGGGGCAAATCCGGACAGTCCCTATTTTTGCTATTAAATGGCAGTAGAACAGGTCGATATGCCAATACTGCACTGCAGCTGCGTGCCAGTACACACCAACTTAACCCGTAACTGCGGAACCAGAGTGATATTGAAATTTTCGAGGCAAAATTGGTCCATTTCAGAAGTTAACCAACTTCTGCAAAAGTCAGTGCTATTTTAGTAGAAAGACATTGGTTTCGCAAAATACGCCATAAGAATGTGTACAACAATATTTACCACACAGGACTTTGTCAACATTGAAAATTTAGTGCATTTTTTACTAAGATTTGTAAGTGAGAGATCGAGTGAAATACCGGACAATCAATATTACGCGCAAAAGTCCGCAGGATAAAAACGTTAACAATTCTTGTTAACTGTGAAACGAACCCATGATTGGGGAAATTTATTCGCTTTAGGTGTTTTAGGAACTTTACATTCACGCAAAGCATTCTTTAAATTGTTGACGTGTCTTCGCCTCTGGACTTCTTATTTTAACTGCACACAATTTTTCGTGTGGGTTGCGCGTAATCTAAAGACACCTAGTTTTCCGCATGATTCTCACACCAGGCCTGATTTTCACTCCACTACACGGATATTCTCTAAGTGTAGCTCTTAGATCGGTTGTCGACCGTCGCGGTGGCTCGCTAGCGCTTAGAGAGAAAGTTTACTGTCCCCCGGAGGTAAGGATCAGTACTCAATACTAGCCAAAGACTGCAGTTAAACTATAGTTTCACTGCACATTTCATTAGTTGAATAGAAATTATTTCGAACACAGGGCCAAAAAACGGAAAATAACTGCTCATAAACTGCAGATTTACTACAGCTTAACTACAATGACGAAAGTACTAGAGTCCCGACTAGTTTCTCCAGAACTTCCGTACCTAATGGTCGAGGTCGTGTTCGTAATATTGATAAAATCATCCGTACTCCGGACGATTTCATCTTCATCACACTTCACCAAGGGGGTATTTACTTCGCATTTTCGTGTAGACTACTCCGTGTTTCGGGCATTACGCGTATTACCGAGTATTACAGCGTATTACCGGGTATTACTGCGCATTACAGGGTATTACAGTGGCCACTCGCATAGCCTCGCCAAGCTCTACTAGCCTGACCCTTCTGGTCACCGCCATACACTGCTGGCGTGGATTCTGATTGTTTTCTAATTATTGTTCAACAGCTTTAAAGCTAAATAACACATACAGCACTATGGCTTCATCCGCGCTGGCCTACAGAGGAGAACCGTGTGGCGCGGCTATGCGAGTGTCCATTGTACTGCGTATTACATGGTACTACCGGTTATTACAAGTCATACGCACAGGGTATTACTAAAGTGAATACCCCCTCACACGACTTAACATTTGTGATGCGAATGATGGTTGCACAAAATTATGGATAAGCGCGTCCATGAGGAAAATGGGAATGTGAGTGGATGAATACATACGCTCTGCACCATTATGTCCTTTGTTTTGTGAAGGTATGATGTTGTTGGAGCCATAAGTAGCGTATAAAGTCATGCCACGAAGTGCATACATGTGGGCGCGTGACCTAAAACTCAAGTCATCTAATTTGATAGTTTTTGGACTAATTGGTTTTAGCAAGTTATGTCGAGCCACCGCTCACGGTTGTTGTGGTTTCGTTCTTACGTGGCACGTTTCGTGTCCCAAGCGAGCAAGGTGCCACAGGCTTAAAAAAATCATACTCTGTAAGAAACACTTGTTGAAAAACAAGTCGCGCACTGATGACGGTTTTGTAGCTAAACAACAATGTTGTTTAAGAACAACAAAAGTTGGTGCAAAACGGCAATGTTTGTTGCAAAACAGCAATGTTTGTTGCAAACCAGTAATGTTGTTCCTAAACAGCTATGTTGTTCCTTAACAACTGTTGCTGTTCTTCAACAACTCTTGCTGCTGATGAACAACATTTGTTGCTGCTGAACAACATTTGTTGTTTCTGAATAACTTTGGTTGTAAGTGAACAACATTTGTTGTAAATGAACAATTCTTTTGTTGTGCGCCTAAACAACTAATGTCGTTCCTGATCAACTTTGGTTGTCCCTGAACAACCTTTGTTGTCCCTGAACTACCTTTGTTGTCCCTGAGCGTTGTAGTCATCGGACGGGCTTAGCATGACCAGAAATGAACTCAGCGACCACGGAACCCCTCGGTGCAACAGTAGGTCCCGGGTCTGAGCAGATTAGGGGTGTCGTCGGGGACCCTTCAGGTGGGCGATGACGCCCCCATGAGTCCTCGGACGGACTCGGCGACAGCAGAAATAAGCCCAGGGACGCCTAAAACCTCACAGTGTAACATCGATTCCCAGCACGATGTAGTTAATACGGTGTCGGCTCTGAGCTGTCTGAGAGGGCCACGGAATTACGGCACATTATTAGTTCCAGAAGAGCCGCCAGTGGCGCTGGCGTCGACCGATGCCGGGCGAGGGGAGAAGGGACGAGACGAGCGGGGCACCGCTCCCGTCCCCTCCCGCTTCCCCTCGCCTGGCATCGGTCGACGCCAGCGCCACTGGCGGCTCTTCTGGAACTAATAATGTGCCGTCTTTCCGCGGCGGCCGTCTTTCAGCCCGCTACCGGCCGGAGAGCCTACACCGTATTAACTACATCGTGATTCCCAGATTTGGTCAGATTCGCGGGGTTGTCGTCGGCGACCTCGCCAGGTGGCCGATTAAGCCCCTAGGAGTCCTCAGATGGACTCGGCGGCACCAGGAATGTATTCCGGGAGCGTAGATGCGGACGAGAGCCTGTTACGATGGTTGTAGAGGCCCGACGGACACGTTTCGAGTGCATTTTGAAGCGACCCGGGCGGAAGAATCTCGAGTTAGAAGTGTAAAGCGCACTTGAAGCGAAAGTTGCAATCTGACCCTAGGCTGAGTTCAGTTGAATTTTTTTCAGTGTTGTCTCCCCGGCGCACTTCCATTTTGCCAATCCACTGCAGTGGAAGTGCAAACTCGCGCATTAATTAAGCTCGGATATAGTTCAACTGCAGAAATCTGTAGTTCTGTAGTTTTCTGTAGTTGAACAGCAAATAAACTACATTCGAACTATAAAGATTTAGGACGCTGCGCAGTTAAACTGCAGTTTGACTACAGTGCACTGAAGTAAGCAGCTGCAGTCTCGCGCAGTGCTATAAGTGCACCTCTGATATGCTTTGGAAATGTAATCCAACCCTAGCAGCAAACCTGAGACTGTGTGTGCACGCGTTGTGCACGTGGTTTGCGCGTGGTTTGCACGCGTTGTGCACGCGATGTGCACGCGTTGTGCACAAATGTGCACGCGTTGTGCACAAATGTGCACGCGTTGTGCACAAATGTGCACGTGGTTTGCACGCGGTTTGCACGCGTTGTGCACGCGTTGTGCACGTGTTGTGCACAGGACCATTTTATCACGGGTAACTCCTCGGATATTTTGAATTTACGCAAAATAAAAAGACTTGCTTGTTACC